AGGAATGCAGCGGGAATCTTCCCGGGACGCTTACAGAGCCATCATTAGAAGTAAATCTGACAGGCGTCTATTAAAGATGAAGACTGCAGAGATCATCCATTTCTGCGTGTCTGCATGTAGAGGAAAACAGACAAAAACACACAGCACTTTCTCTGAAACCATAAAATGTGAAATAATGACATAACATTCAACTTTCCAATGCTCTTGATTTAAATGAATGATTTAAATGGAAAGACTTCTTTAAAGATCACTTTGCTATGACATGCGAGCCACAGAGAGTAGTGAACAGCAAGTAAAATATAGCCAGAATGATATGAACCAGAGACATCAATAAGAAACATTCGTCTCCAGCAGAACATTAAGGAGGTAAAATGTATCAAAAATGAATGTAGTCAAGCTAGGGAAGAAGAATTAGAGACTTTGAATTCATGGTAAAGTGTTCTTGTAAAAAGTGGACTGGAGCAATGAGGGAGAACAATTAGGGCGAAGAGGAAGCCAGGGTCAGTGTTTTTACAGCCCAGCAGCACGTCAGTGTCACAGGATTTCAGATAAGATTATGTCTTATCTTAGTGTGCATGGATCCGCACTCGGTGAGTTGGATACCTCTATTCCCTGAAAGCACAGGAGTGCTGAGGAAAGGCTGACAGGTGCGGCTGACTAGTTCAGAAAATTTTTACCATAGAGAGAAGTGTATCTGACAGGTGGATATATGGCTGGACGGGAAAGTGCCAGCCCTTCCAAAACCCCTTTCCTGCAGAAAACAGTAATAAGGCATAGACCAACCCTTTTCCATAACTGTAAAGTGGCTGTTGAGCAGAAGGCCTTATGCCTCATCGTAGTCAATTTATGATTGAGGCTCACTATTAAAAGGATTTTTCTTGCTCTCATTTCAGATTTTTTTTTCCTTTGCTTGTAAATAATTATAAATGTCCATATATAGATTTCCATCTGTGTATCAGTTATAGCATTACACCGTATGTGCACTTGATTTACTCTTTTTACTCTTTTTTACTCTTTTTACTCCTTTTTTAATCTGTTTTTAAATTTTTGTTCTGTACTTATAGAAAGTAGGCAGTACTCTGTCCGGTTCAAGAATCATACAGATTTTTCTTTAGTGTGGAAAACAGGACACACAAAATATAATCAGATCTAGATACAAAAACATTGCCTTGAACTTTCCCTGGCTGGGAAAACCAGAGAAAACTTGTGATTCTCCTGCTCCCCTAATTGACGGATTTTACCTATTTACTCCTGGCGTCCTTGTGGGAAGCAGTCACGGTGTGCGGCCCCGTCCCGCGCTGCGGCCCAGGGCAGCGGCCCCGGCGCAGAGGCCGGTGGCCGAAAGCCCCTGTGGATCCGCTGCTGGAAACAAGTGACAGCGGTGCTGGCACTGCAGCTTGCATCGTTAACATGGCCAGTAAACCATGGATTGTTCAATAAGGCGTTTGTCTTTTTTTTTCATTTTACTCTGTTCTTTTATCATTTCTATGATGGAAAAGTTTCAGACACTAACTGGGCAGATCAGCTTTAAAGATCAGATATGTGCATGTGTGGTAGTTGTCAGAAGTAAGTGAAATCTAATGGCTTAAAGATATTTAATAGATGTTTTTCACCTGAAGAAAATAAAGTTCAATGATCATTTCTCTTACTGTTTCTTTTTCAGTTTCCTTTTGCATCGTATTTAATGGATGCTATACAGGAAAAATTAATTGAGAAGAAGAAACTGGTAGAAGAGTACAGTTCCCTCGTGCGGCACGCTGCATGATTTGCTGAGACGTGTGAGATTTGCCAAGTGTGACTGAAAGACGTGTGTTGTTTCCTGAGTTCCTTCCTCTTTGCATAAAGAACTATCAATAGTTGTGTTCAATACATAAGTAGAAACTGTGAACCAATTAATTGTTGAACAAGAGGAATTAATTACATTCCTGTTTAGAAAGGAAAGACTGCGGTGTTTGATTGCTCAAGACAAAAATTGCTGCAAATCAATGCAATGTTAAAAATGATTTTCCTTTATGTGCATCAACAGTGAACATCAGTGCAAGCTTTGAAGAGACAGGATGTTTCTGATATGGCCAGGGTAGGTCTGTACATTTCAGCAGACAGCCAAGTAACTCCTGTTTGTACCAGTGAGAACAGTAGAGAAGGAGTTTACAGAGGAACTGTGAAATTCATTGGGATTTTGGCTACCGTACTTCTTTTGGCTTCTTTTTAAATCTCAGCTTTATATTTGCTAAATAAATGATACACTCGTATGCTGAGGAATAAAAAAAAAATGAAGGCAAACAATACAGGTAAAGTAATAACTCTATGAAAGACTGTTTTTTTTTTGTTTGTTTGTTTTTTTGTTGGTTTTTTTCAGTAGAGTGCATTCTGTGCAATGTATTTAACAGTATTTAAGAGATTTCGTCCTGTACAATAAAGTGTTCCCAGTAGTACCAGCAGTCTCGGTTCTTTCTGAACTACCAGCAAGCTGCAGGCCTGTCTTTGTTTGGGGAAGAGTTTCGGTGAGCTTTCAGGAGGTCTCTATAGCCCCTAACATCCACCCAGATTTCTCTCTCTTCACCAGTAACCGCTTCTGCTTCACATCTTTGATGTGATTCGATTTCGATTCAATTTAATTCAATTAACAGGTCATATCCTCAGGCCCAACCAATCCCATAAAAGTAAAGATCCAGGTTTTTGAATTCATGTAGCAATACCACTTGCTTCTTCATCCATGAATTTCCGGGTGCCACATAAAGCGTCAGTGTCATTATTGGTTGGAGAATCAAAGACAAGATGTAGTTGGCCTAAGATCATTCAACAGAAGCATGAAAATGATTAGGTTTTCTGTAATTCAGTCCAGTCCTTTTTCTAGAATATCGCCTTGCTTCTCTTAGTTTACAGAATTCACTGTTGCATGTCTCTAAGAAAAGCAATAGGAGGTCATCACTAAACCTCACAGTTGCACCTGATGGCAGCAGGGACTTGAGAGAAACGCTAAGATTTTTATTGGAGTTATTGGACATCACACAAACATATGCCACTTGCAGCTATAAATTAAGATCTGCAACTAATCCTGCCTAAGAGAACAAACATATTTAGAAGTCATCAGCCATTCCAATGCAAGAAATGTGGGTCGTCTTGTGAAGTTACATAAGGCTACATATTGAAGGCAGGCAAAAAGGAAGTCATTTTTATGAAAAAAAATGGAACTCTCTGCCTTGGAGTGTTAATGAAGTTAAATATTTATATGGGCTCATGGCAAGGCCAGGAAGTTTATGGAAGAGGAATTCATGTTTTCAATAATTTACCCTCCCTCTCCCGCCCTCATCCTCCTAAAAAAACAGTAGCATTTGCAAATGAAACTGTTAGCAAATATAATAAGATGACTGTACAGCGGAAGTAAGTTCAAAAAGGCTAAAGCTCTGTGAGGATCAACCCTTTTGGCTTCACTTCCCTCTCGGGAAGACATTTGTGCAAGTTTGGAAACATCGGCTAGTTCACATTGAAACCCAAGAAGTTTTTAAGAAAATCTCCCAATTTTAAGGCAAGCTCCTAGTCCCAATTTTCAGCACTTTAAACCACATTCTCTTCTGGTCCTGCAAAATTCTATGGATTCTTTGAGGTACCTGGATGTGAAAAGAAAAAAACAACCTTTTTTTTTTGGACCAAGAGTAAACAGAAGTGGCGAATGCTATAGCATCAAATGCTTCTCTGTCTCATGTGAAGAAAAGATTAAAATGAAAGCCTTGCAACTGAAGTGGAACCTGAAATGTGGAACTGAAGTGAACCTGAATTCCAAAGAATGGAAAATGTAGGGATTTCTTTTTTTTCTTTTTTTGCTTGCAGGTGTTTCACTTGTGCATCATGTCACAAGAGACTAGGTAATACTTTTTAAAATAATTTATTTCTACATGAATTTCTGTGGCTCACCCTCAAGAACGGGATTTTCTACTGCTTTTGAAAATGATTGGGGTCAATAAGCATGATAAGCTTCCTATTTGGCCAAAGTATCATGTTTGAACTCTACCAAAATAACTAAGTCCTGCAGAAAGTACCACCGTACAGATACTCCTGTTTCCCTTTATTCTGGCCTCTAGCAGTTTTCTACTACTTCTCTGATAATGTTTTAATTCCTTTAAGTGATCATTCACTTGCTATCCAGCAGATCTGCAGCACTGCCACAAGCCCTTCCCCTCCGTGGAGGAGGTGGGTGATTTCTGGGTTTGTCAGAGCGAGCGGGTGAGAGGCAGCCGCAGCGCAGCGCATCGATCCTATGAACAACCACCTGCCTATGTGAGGGCAATTCCAATAACTGCAATTCCAATAGGGGAAAATCTTCTTCACAATGACCAGCAAAAGCCATTAGAAAAGAGAATTTTCACCTAAGGGACTTCATAAAATTAATTTACTTTGGACTGTGCCACCAGGAAAAGCTAGAGTTACGTTTCTGTTTTGCATTTTCACAGATTATTATACCTGCTGGTGGGAGAAGCACTATTTTATATTTACAAGAAACCATTTCCCTTATTTTTATTTTAGCTGTTCTTTGCAGAGTCCTGTGCTCCCTCCCACCACAGTAGTCATGAAACTTGCTGCCATCACAGAAGTATAGAAGTACTTCCATCTACTTTGTAAACATATTACTTGTTCCTGCTGTCTGTGAACCTGGAAGCCTTACCAATGTTAAGGAAAGGTCTTAAGTTTATACCAATGAAGGTTAAGGACCTATTTGCCTTCAAGAAATAACATTACAAAAATTTACAGTATCATCTGTATTATCTTCAGCTACCTTAACTCTGCATCCTGTCCTCAACTGTTAATTCAGGATTTTCATGTGGATGGCGGTCTTTGGCCTGTTTTAGCAACTGTTTTCCTTCTGGAGAGCTGCTTTGATCACCTGGCAGCTTTATTGGGTCTGATAATAAGAGTAGAGTCTATAAAGGATTCCCAAGGAAAACCCTGGCCGAGGCAGTGGTGCCTCTTCCTACAATTTAAACCTGGAGTTACAAAATTCAGTTGATTTCTCTCATTCCTACCGCTGTGCTCAGAGGAATCATTCTATACAGGCTCTGTGTGCCAGCAAAAGTGCAAAACGAACTGTTGCCAAATTTGTTTCCTCAATCCCTCAAGTAGACATTTTTTGGCAAGGGCTTTGCCTCCAATACAAATTTATGGAGAAAGGCAGAAGTATCTCTCGACATTTTGTGTTTGCTACCGATTTAGAGGAGATTCTTAAATCATTAAGAAATGTTTTTTTTAAAAAAAAAAAAAAAACTATCACAAGCCTATCTTGTTAGTTTGGCCCCGATGAAATGTATTTAAACACAAAAAAGGCACGACAGAAAGATGATTGTGGAAACAGGAGCAGCCAGGGTAAGCAGTGGCTCTGTGACCGCCGCTGTGTGCTCGGTGTTTCCTTCACGCTGTTCCTCATTTCCCTGGGTCTGCCCGGCCTCCAGGAGCACCAGGCCGGGGAGCGGGGCTCGCACGAGCACCCTCCGGCCCACGCGTGCCGTGAAGATGCCGGGTCAGCACCCCTGGATCTGGATGGAAGCTGCGGCCTGGAATGTCGCTGCTTCCCATCCTCGGGCCTCCCAGGACCGTCCCAGCAGGAAGGCTCCCTGCTGCGGGGTGGGAAGCGCCCGGGCCTCCCTGGTGCAGCCCGAGAGCATCATGCACATTCCTCATTAAAACTGTCTGTTTCAGGATCGGAGGCAAAGGTAATTACAGCACCCACCGTAGCATGGCAGAGGTTTCTGCAGCATCAGCACACCACGATCTCCGCACTTACAGACCGTGAGGTGCAGGTCATCTTCCGGTGAAGAAACGAAACAGTAAATTGCCTGTCTGTGCGTGGCACAAAGGCGTTTTGAGTCGCAGAGGATCAGGCAAAGCGCAGTTCAGAAGAGCAGGCCCAAACACTGCCCGCACAAATGCAAACCAGTTTGATCCAGTCCCGTGCGCGTCCCCCGCGTGCCTGGGCCGACGGGCAGGGGGAGGCCAGGACGGCGCCGCTGCCCGGTGCCTCCTTCGCCTTCAAACAAACCAGGCCCGCGGTGGCCTCGTTGTTGCGTTTTGAATTGTGGTTGACTGTACTTTGCATTTTCGCAAGACGCTTTTTTAGCAGAGATTTCTCACAGTGAAAACTGAACGCAAAAATATTAATGACAAATACTGCCCCAAACATAAATACATTTTATGGTGAAGAAGAAGAAATCAAAGAAATGGCACTTCTTCCAGAAGCTCTCACATATTGTAGGACTCTCAGTCTTTCTGTAACCTTTGCTGGAAATCTTCCCAAATGTTTTGATGATTTTTCAGTCTAAATGATTTTCCTTATCCTCTTTCTACTTTTCTAATGCAGTATAAACAAACAGGCAAACAAACAAACAAATAAAAATCCAGAAGTTTCAATCAATCACCATTATTCAATGCCAGAATTTTCATCTAGTTTGAGATATTTTTGTAAAGAGAATAAAAGTGCTGATATTCAGAAGAAAACATTTTTTTTACTTTTTCTCTGTTTGTCACAAGTCCTGAATTCTGTCTTTTCAATGACATGAGTCTTTTGGGAAACAATTTTTACAGCAGTAAAACAGTGAAAAGTACTTACTTACTTAAACATTAAAAAAAATCATTTTCATGGAAAATGGCATAGAATTTAAGGCTGGTGTAATCACACAAGCGTGTTAAAAATTTGATGAAGGACTTACCTCATTTTGGGAAGAACTACCAGGCATCTTCCAGCTAATATTAACAAAGCTAAATGACTAGAATTTTAAAGCCTAACTTTTATGCATTT